CAAAGGCACCAATGTCGGCCCACTAGTAGTTGACTATAGTTAAGATGATTATCTTTGTGATAATTGTCTGGTATGCCACTATCTGTTATGCGTTATGTGCTAGTATGTTATGATATTATGTGATAGTGGTAGGAGGGGAAGGATAGACCCTGTTACCGATCGTAAGCACTGAAGGGGTAAGCCAACACCCATATATGCTAAGCAGTATGTGACTTATGTGTTTATGTACTAGGACGATATATGGTAGTGGTAGGGGTGAAATAGTCCCCATTATCGTTTGAAAGAGACAGAAGGGGTAGGTCAGCACCCAAATATGCTAGGCAGTTACCGGTTCAAAGAGACTGAAGAGGTAGTCCAGCACCCAGATATGCTAGGCAGTTATCGATTGAAAGAGACCGAAGGGGTAGGCCAGTACCCTGATATGCTAGGCAGTTATCGGTTGAAAGATACCGAAGGGGTAGGCCAGCACCCGGATATGCTAGGCAGTATGTTTATTGTATGGTATGTGGTATGATGGGGGAACTCACTAAGCTTCGTGCTTACGGATTTCAGTTTGGGTTTCAAGTACTTCTTCTTCTAAAGGAAAGGAGCCGGCATGATCGCAGCGCATCACACAATGATTTTCCGCATATGAGACCTTTGGGAGTTGTACTCTGATAATATTTTTTATGACATTTTTTGGTTAATTAACATATTGGTTTTAATATGGATTGACACTATTGATGTTTCATACTACTGATTTTTATAATTGCTTACTTTAAAATGAAATTTTGGTCTTAAATTTTGGGATGTTACAAGTTGGTATCAGAGCCCTGGTTTGAGGGATTCGAACACACTCTCGGGTGTGTCTGGACTCAAATCAAGGGTTTGAGAGATTTTTACAAGAAAAATCAGTTTTTCCCAAGATACCCATACATGTTTGCTATGATATATGATATCATTATGAGAACTGCATGTTAGATTAGGGCTAAGGATCAAGGAAGATGCCTTATGTGCCTGCTGTATGTGCTTATTGAACTGCATGATAGTATTGACTAGTCAGTGATATGATAGCATGCTTAGGATATGCTTGGTTTTAGTTACTCAATGCCTGAATATTGCTTGCTTTGTGCTTTTAGTTCTAACTATCTTTAATTAACTAGTAAACGAATACGTTAAGTTACATATTATGAGGACTGAATAATTTTAGAAGGTTAGTTCTAGCCTTATTTTGCAGCTCTCGTCTGAGTCTAACTCTTATAGGGTTGGACCTCTCATTCAAAGAATTATATGGTCTTAGTAATATGTAATGGTATTCATGACCTAGTCAGGGAGAGATAGCAGGGACTTCTTATGCAGCTGATGGCGGAGAGTGGGTTGGACATTACCCTAGGGGAAGCCTAGGATGAGATTAGCGTGAAGAGAAGTAGTAGTGAAAGGACTTGGTGAAGTCAAGGAAATCCTTGAGGAAAGTACGGATATATGTGGAAGGTAGTATGGTCCCGTACTACTGAAAGCAGAGGATTTGTACTCGATTCAATGAGGGTTGCGATAAGACCAGGAAAATTGTAGCGCGTATCTGATCCCACGATATTGGATGAGTATTTGGATGGTTGTTATGGTATGTTTCCAACATGGTGACGCTACGTGGTAGACCAAATAGCAGTTTTGTGCCGCCAAGGGGCCAGGCTCGGACTCTAGAGCCGGGCAGCTCGATGATCAGATGAGTGAATTTATTCCAGCTGAGATTACATGCAATATCATTACCCAGACACCTGTGATCTTCGGTACGGTCAAGGAGGGCATTTAGAGATCCTTCATGAGATGTTGGGTGCATTCCGCACCGAGATGGCAGCCATACTAGGGACGCACACGATTATGTTTCGGGAGTTCCAAGCTTGTGGAGCTCCAGACTATAATGAGGTTAGGGACCTCATTCTCAGTAGGAGATGGTTACCGGGCACATTATTGGTTGTAAGAGATTGGTAGCGAGTTGGGTAATGATGCAGTTGATGATGTGTCATGGGATGATTTCTCGATCAGGTTTCTAGCGGAGTTCTTTGACGATTAAGGTGCGACAGCTGGCATGAGAGTTCTGGGTCTCCGCCAAACTACTGAGATTGCAGCAAAGGTCACTGCCAAGTCCCGGTAGGGGGCTTTAATGGTACTGTGGTATGCAACCGGTGAGTAGATGAAGAATGTGAGGAATCATGATATGTTGTGGGATGATATCAGGGAGTTCGTGAGAATTTCGGGGTGCGAGACCCTAAATAATATGATTTCTAGAGCTTGTAAGTGGGAGATAGGTTTGGAGCACATTGGTAAGAGGGGGGTCAGATCAGGTGCAGACATTGGAGGGTCCCAGGAAGAGACCCAAGATTTCTGACCAACGCATGAAAGGCCAACAGGGCTGAAAGTTTTACAACACATGAGGGAAACTGCATGAGGTGACTTATCATTTCAGAGGTTTGGGCTGCCACAAGTGTAGCAGGTTTGGTCATGTTAGCGGGGATTACCCTCAATGGGGGGTGGGTGGGGGGAAGCCCGTTATGTTTCCTTTGCTGTCAGGTGGGCCACAAGAAGGCCGACTGTCCGATGCTGAAGGGAGGAGCAGTGAGTGCACCTGCTCCGGCTACTTCGAGGAACACCGATGGAAGAGAGGGTAGGGTAGGATCCCCAACAAAGAGGGGTCGTGATTTACAATGTTAGACAGAGGAGGTCAGGACTCCAATAGGCGACATTGTGGATGTGTTATATGTTGCTTTCTTCATGATTTTATCAGTATGTACGTTATTCTGGAATCTCGCATCGGTTGGGGTAAATGTATATTTGGGTGATTTCTCTGCTTATGTTTGGGGTTATACCTTCAAGAAGTGTTATATGTCATTTGCATGCCATGAATCGTTAGTGGGTTAGTAAGGGGTTGTATCTCATATAGCGAGTTCCACGTGTTCGGTAGTTATTTTGGGTTGCGTTCGAGATCAACTTAGGGGTATTTATTAAATTTTGGGTTATGGGTTATGCCAATTTTATCCTTAAATTCCCCAAGAGAAATAAAAAGCAAACAATCCCTTTGCCTAGCTCTAGTAGTAGTCAAGTCATATATATATATATATATATATATATATATATATATATATATATATATATATATATATATATATACACACACACACACACGAAAAAGGGAATAATTCAAATAAAAGCTGTAAATATTGTAACTACGTAAAAACGCTACTTTTATGTTATTATTCTGCAATGAATTTTATATTTACAGCTTTATGTCATTATTTATAATAGAATAATAACATATTCTAATTGATATATAAATACTCACAGGTTAAAACTAAAATTAGAATTTACTACAAAAATACATATATATAAATTTATTATAGAATAATAACATTCTAATGAATATATAAATAATCAAACGATAATATTCATATTAGAATTACTTCAACAATACACATATAGAACATTCATTACAATATATATATATATATATATATATATATATATATATATATATATATATATAGGGTTACATTCATGTGAGACGGCCTAATTTTGTGAGACCGCGAGACGCATTTTTTTATTTTTTTTTATTTTTTTTTTAATTTTTTTTAGTTAATTCAAGTTCCGAAAATAATATTTAAAAAAAGAATTTTTTGATTTTTCCATTTATTTTGCATTTTAAAATTATTTTTAAAATTTGTACAGTGTAATAATCTATTTAGAATATTTCACGTATTTTTTAAAAAAATAGGATTTTTTTTTATTTTTTTTATTTTTTTTTAGTTAATTCAAGTTCCGAAAATAATATTTAAAAAAAGAATTTTTAGATTTTTCCATTTATTTTGAATTTTAAAATTATTTTTTATAATATGTCAGTATAGTATTCTATTTAGAATATTTCACGTATTTAAAAAAAAAAAAAAACGGGATTTTTTTTTAATTTTTTTAGTTAATTCAAGTTCCGAAAATAATATTTTAAAAAAAAAAAATTTTGGATTTTTTTCATTTATTTTGCATTTTAAAATTATTTTTAGATTTAGTCTTACGGTCTCACAAAATTAGCATGGTCTCAAATGAACCTGAACATATATATATATATATATATATATATATATATATATATATATATATATATATATATATATATATATATATATATATATATATATACACACTTCATTTTGGAATCCAACAAGTTCAAATTTCAAAAAGGTTAGCTAAAAGTAGGCATGCGCAAACCGGTTTATTTTTTGAACCAGACCGGTTCAAAAAACCGGTTCGGTTCTAGTCAATAAAGTCAAAACAGGTTCACCCCTAAATCGGTTCGGTTTCAAACCAGTTCACCACCAAAATAATTCGAACCCATACAAACAGGTTCGGTTCAGTACAAACCGGTTCACCTTAAATCAGTTCACCATAAACCGGTTCGGTGAACCATTTATAAAAAATCGGACGGAATTGCTTCTTTTTTACAATGGTTGCTTTGTTGCTTAGGATATCATGGCTAATATATGCATGGTTAATTTGTAAGACCGGTTCATAACCGGTTCAAGACCGGTTCAAAATCAGTTCAAAACCGGTTTTCTAGACTGGTTCAGCATAAACCGATTCAAAACCGGTTCGAATGGCCTAGAAGTCCTAATTACTACAAACCAACGGTTCGGTTCGACATTGGATCGGTTCAACAGTGGACCGGTTCAAAGGTGAACCGGATTTCAGTTCAGCCACCGGTTCAGATCGTAAACCGGTTTTTTTTGTGCACGCCTAGCTAAAAGGCAAGCCCGGTTAAAAAAAAGGGCCCATGTATAGACCCGGTTACAGAAGGCCCAAAATAGCAGTGTAAGAGAGGATCATGTCTATGAATAAGCAGCATCACAAGATCATTCATTTTTGACAAAAAGAAAAGCTTCAAATGTTGCAAGCATAACACAAGAAGCGCAAAAATAGCAAGAAAGGAAAATTTTGTAGTTAAGCAAATCCATATTCGCAACAAAAACAAAACCAGATGTGAATATGAATTTTGAAAATCAAAATAAATAATAGATAAATCTAAAAATATAAGCGTGTGATGTAAAAATACAGCACGTTCAAGAGCTAGTTAATACGGATGACATCAGCAAAAAAAAAATGGATACAGAGTGATTTTTTTTTTCTAATTTAATTTGTGAGTCAAACTTGTGTAGTTGAAAGGCACCTCCATTGCCCCATCTGAGGTCCCTTATTTAGAAGCATTAGCAACCCTGCATTGTCTGCAAGCGCACTATAAATATGCCTGAAATTGTAAAAATATTTCTCATTACAAATTTTACATAAATTCATTCTAAAAAAAATACAATAAATCAGCTACTTACTTATTTCGTTGTGCTCTCCTTCCAAAATAACCAAATGTTACAATCCTCTGCAAAAACACCACAACATTACAAACATAAATACCAAACTTACAAATTAAACCCACAAACTCCAATTAATTGAATAAAAAGTATTATTGTTACCTTGAAAAGTGAGAAGAAGGAAGAATCCATACGACTAGATGCCTTCTTTCCAATCATCCTACTTGGAGGTGACATGTCTTTAGCCAATTGTTGAGCAATCTCCTTCAACAAAACCAATTGAGCTTTATCAGTCCTCATAGAAATAAGAGCTTGTCTCATTGACTCCCTATCAGCTTCAAGTGCATGAAGCCTCATATACAGCTTCTTCACTTCTGGATCTTCAATATCAGTTCGTGAAGATGACTCTTTAGGTGTACTACTCATAAAATCATCATAACTACCAATATTCGCCTTTTGATCATTGTTATGTATAAAATCAATGGTATAAATCCTGTCACTTGTGTCATCTCCAAATTCTGAAACGGTTTCCACTTTCTTGAAATTACCAAAATCATCCTCCATCTTCTTCACATTGCCACTCAAGTCTTCTCTAACAGTTGCATAATATGTTCCAGCACTATCACAGGAGAATCTTCTAGAATGTTTCTTGATTGGGGAATGACCAACTATGACTTTTTCAAGAACGGGTTGACTATGCGTAGGGCTTTTCTCCAATTGATTGATTCTTTCTTCAATGTCTTTTAATGAACGTGGGGTTTCACCGAATGCATACTTTTCTATATCAACTGTTTCATTGTCGTGTTCTTGATAAGGTTGATTTTCATTTGAATTGCATTTGAGAGGAGGGTAATCATATGAAGGAAAATCAAATTGAAATTGGCTTTCTAGATTTGTGGCTACACTGTTTTCGCGTGTGATGAAGCTTTTCTCCCCATCTGCTTCAGATTCTGTAAGACCATAACTTATCATTCTGTGTTTATATGCTTGAACTTCACAAGTCAATGATTGAATAGATTGCTCCCTTCTATATAACAATTCTTCTAACGCCATAAGCTCTTGTTGATCATGAGCCATTTTTTCTTCAGAAAAACGCTTAAATTGTCTGGCCTCCATCTGGATTTCAGCTTTTTCACGTTGTAATTTTAAGATCATAGACATGGCTTCATTTGCAGCTGAAGAAGAAGCGTACCTTTCCTCTTCTAGGTCAGAAATGAGGTCCTGAATGGTGCGTTGTTGATTGCTGACCATTTCACGTAACACATCGCATTCGTTTTCAATTTCAACACGGGCGACATCATGAATCTGAAGACCTGGTATGAAAAATTTGCCGCCATCTCCTTCATATTCGTCTAATTTTCGTTTCACAGAACGTATCCATGATCTAGAATAAGATCCAGTTGTTGTATCGCAAGAACTACAACTGCAATCACAGCATTTGACTAAACTGGTCGAAGGATGCGTGCTCTCTGATTCCATATTTGGACCAATCGTAGATAATTATCCGTCAAAACATCGACAAAAACAAAGCTTGTTAATTAACCAATGATTTCACCCCCTTCAACAATGAAACCGTTTATGATCTAATTTTTCCCTCTTCTTAATTCACCAACCAGAACAACATGAACCCTCCTACACTAACCAAAACACCAACAGGACCCTGCAAATGAATCAGCACAGATTACGATTATAGTTGCTTGGCAAACATATACTGGAGTGAACAATTACGAACATTTCAGGTCAAAATCAAAATCACAATCAAGATTAGGTGAAAAAAAATTACCGTAGAAAACAAGGGCCCATTAGGTCATGATAACGATGATATTGATAATGAAGATTAGAAGAGAAATTTTCCCAATAAAAAAATTAGCAACAATAAAGAGGGAAAAGTGGGGGAGGGGAATTCTTGAGGGAATTATGCAAAGGGGGAAAAGAGGAAATTTTGGGGGTTGAGATACAAAGAAATTTGAAACCCTAGATTTATATTTTTCTGTTATCAAAATTCGCGTTTCTCGCCAAACGCACCCTCGTACCATTTTTATTTATTTTTTTTATTTTCTGGTATAAACAACGAATTTTCAATGTTTTTGTATTGAAAATTTAAAAGGTTGTTTCTTAGTCCGCACCAAAATTCCAAACAAATCATCCATCATTGAAATGGATAAAACATAAAGTTTGCTATATTCTAGAGGGATAATGACTTAGGAGGGTAATAAGGTTTTCAGTTTGTCCGTATTAGGTCACTAAGGTTTTTTTGTGCGTATTAGACCAATATGGTTGTTATTACCGTTTAGAAATAGTACTTTTACCGGTTAATATGATTGTTATTATCGTTTAGAAATAGTCATTTTACCGGTTAAACCGGTAAAATGATTATTTCTAAACGGTAATAACAACCATATTGATCTAATACGCACAAAAAAACCTTAGTGACCTAATACGGACAAACTGGAAACCTTATTACCATCCTAAGTCATTAACCCTAATTATTTAGAAAACATGCTTACTAATCAATGTGAATGATTTGTTTGATTGAAAATAGTTGCTTCCATTTAAACTAATCTCACAACCCTTCTAGAACTTCTAAATCCAGAAACTCATATGATTGATAATCTTCATTACATAAATATGCAACATTTTATCAATAACTTCTTTTTTGTCATTTAAATGTTTACATGAACACATCCATATGTACAAAAACAAAATCTCACTTTGATACCTCCCATCAATGTCTACATTTGATAACGAATGAAAATGTAAAACCAACGGAGACTTGTATAGGATGTCTATTATCAATTATTTAATAAAAAGCAAAACCACAACATGAACTAAGAAACTAAAGTTGCAAAATGAATAAAAAAATCAGCACATAAACAAATACATACATACTATATACAACACATAAACGAAAGTTTATAAAGCATGAAACTTAACGACAGGAAAAGTAAAAAACTTAAAGGAGACTTTATAGAAAGAAAGATCACCCTTACTTGCCACAAATGGTTGAAGACATCAACAAGAAGATCAATCTGACCATAGAATCCACATGTTGTTTGATCATGACTTCAGTAGATGAACTATTGAAACGTAAGAATTGCAATTGAACTCTATTAGCATTTGAAAGGGGAATTAGGGTTCTAGAGAAGACCACGAAGGGTTAAAAAATATTTTGGACCATTTCTCGATTTGTGTGTGTCATCCTTGCGCAAGGGTCATGCTAATCTTCTCTGTATCGTTCCAATTTTATCGGATGTCCCCAAAGGGACGACTATAGATGAAGAGCTTCGCCATATAGAGGAGTAGCAGGTTATATGGGACGACGCGAGTTCTAAACGAAGTAGTTTACTGTTAATGGTCATATATTCTCAATGTCTTTAAAATTAGGGCTAATGACTTAGGAGGGTAATAAGGTTTCCAGTTTGTCCGTATTAGGTCACTGAGGTTTTTTTGTACGTATTAGACCAATATGGTTGCTATTACCGTTTAGAAATAGTCTTTTTTAACCGTTAAAACCGGTAAAAGGACTATTTTTAAACGGTAATAACAACCATATTGGTCTAATACGCACAAAAAAAACCTTAGTGACCTAATACAGACAAACTGAAAACCTTATTACCCTCCTAAGTTAGTATCCCTATTCTAGAGACAAAATGTATTTTTTTGGGGGTTTCAATCCAAACCTCGATTTTTTTAAATTTATGATCCTTTTGATATAGTTTGTACATGGAAATAGTCCATTAACTTAACTTTCGTGAAGTTATTGTTGTTAACCCCCTCATTTGCATCCCACATGAGGGTATATTTCTCTTTTTACATATAAATGATCATTTTTGCACCTAAAAAATATATCTTTTTTTAAATAAAAATTAATACCTATTTATTTATTTTAAAAATTAAAAAATAAAAAAAAGTCTCTCTCTCTCTCTCTCTCTCTCTCTCTCTCTCTCCACCCAAAATACAAAAAACCAAACCTGCGATGGTGGGTTGTATTTGAACTTATGAAATCGAAAATCAACTTCAACTAGAAAATCGAACATCCAGCATCAACCAGAAAATCAAGTTCAAAAACCAAAAATCAAGTTCTGAAATTAAAAATCAACCAGGAAGCAAATATTAAAAATTTGGGTTCGAGTGGGTCCATGGTTCGATTTGCAAATAGAGACAAATCAAGATTCGATTTGGAACCTAGGTAAATAGAGAAGAAAAGGGGAGGGTTATTAACTCTGATTTTGTTTTGAAAATCTTTGTCTTCGTCACCACCTATTCGCCTGGAAAGCTTGTCTTCTTTAAAGCTTACAGAAGACCCAATTAACATGAGTTGAACTTTGACAACTGGAACTGGAACTCAAAAAAGAGGTTTTTTGTGATCGTGTGTCCAGGTGAGAAACAAGAAGAAAGAAGATTAGTGGGGTAATTGGGTGTGTGTTGAGAGAAGATGGGTGGGGCGTGTGTGTTGAGAGAAGATGAGTGGGATAATTGTGTCGTTAGTCTTCGTGGATGTTGACCCGTTGCCTCGACAACAACTTCGGTAAGGAAAGGTGTGAAAGGGGGAAGATGCAATGAATAACTGAAGGAGGTGGTGAGGCTGCTCCCCAGCGAGTCTCATCGTGGTTTCTTTCTCGTCATTGATGGCAACGATTCGGAAGGGAATCAGAGCAGCTGCAACAACAACAATTGAGGTGGGGTGTTTGGGGTTGTGCTTTTTCGACTGTATGAGGGTTGCAGAGGTGTTGAACTTCAGTTGCGTTCATTGAAAGGGTTGTAGCTCCTCTTGATCTCACCAGAATTAGCCATCCAATGGTGGTTTTTGTTTGTTTGATGCTCGACAGAGGATTTTGGGTGATGCTTCTTCAACAATTGTGTTTGGGAAGAAGAAAAGGGAAGAGAGAGAGAGAGAGAGAGAGAGAGAGAGAGATGGTCCCTTAGGTATTAATTTTTTTAAAATATGTATTAATTTTTTAATTATTAAAATAAATAAATATGTATTATTTAAAAAAAAAAAAAGAAAGAAAAAAAGAAGGATATATTTTTTTCAGATGCAAAAATGGTCATTTATATGTGAAAAAACAAATATACCCTCATGTGAGATACACATGAGGGGGTTAACAACAATAACTTAATGGAAGTTAAGTCAGAGGACCAGTTCTACGTACAAACTATGCCAAAATGACCATGAATCCAAAAAAATCGAGGTTTTGACTGAAACTCCAAAAAAAATGCATACCACAAGGACCATTTTTGCAATTTTATCTATTCTAGAATTGTAATTGTAGTTTGGATACGTTAAAGAGAAAAAAATAAAAATTTAAGCATTTAGGGGCTTAAAGTCTCATGTCGTTTGATATCATATATTAATTAGAAGTCTCTATCTACTCATAATTTGAAAAGAATCTAGGTCTGACTCAATCAACAACTCGCTACATAATCACTTTTAATTTTCCGTGACCTATCTTCCAATCTTCCATTATGGATCTTTTTATTTGGTCCCGTCTATTTGGAATCTCAAAGTAAATGTCGCAAGTGTCGAAATGACACTTAAAAGATGGATGCGGTCATGTTGATTGTTAGAATATATGACAATAGGTTTGATGGAAATTAACATATGTGTTACATACCGATAGTACAAACAAAATTATAAATATTAAATGTAATAATAAATAAAATAATGGGATTATATAGAGATATCTCAGAGATATTATTTAATCTCTTTGATAATTACTATAAAATTTATATAGCAACCAATGTTTTAGAACAATTGTCTCATAGTTGTGTTATACTATTAAATTAGTTGTGACTTGTGAACTACATGGTGCATTTTTTAAGAAATTATGAATAAATAAGTACTTCAACATTAGATGTTAATTGCTAAATTTTAAGGACATTTTCTAAATTTATTATATTTAATTTATATTTGTTTTTAACTTTAAACAATACAACATACAACTATCCATGAATGAACACTTCTCAAAAACTCTGAAATTTCAAAAATAAATTTGAAATCCAATGAACAGTGCCGGAATTTCAAAAAAAAAAATATTTTTTTACTTAAATCAAACAAAAGTTAAACAAATGTAGTAATGTGAACTATATGCAATATTATGGCATGAAATCAAACATTAGTGTTAGGTGCAATTTGTCCACTCTTTTGTACACTTTTTAGTCCTTTTTTATGCATCTATTTAGTATAGTTGTTCTTCATTTTTCTTGTATTTCATCGTATTCATGTTAGTCTCTAGAACAACCTTATTTGCACACTTTCATATTCTTTTCAGGGAAACCGGAGGTTGGAACGCGCTTTGGGAGGTATCGGGAAGCATTGGTGAAGATTTCGGGATGATCGGGCGAAGAGCGAAAAACTTGAAAAAAAATGAAGTTTGGAATCGGATTCAGAGGGGTACACAGGCGTGTTGGATTTACACTGCAAAAGGAGCACATGTCGTGTTTGACCAAAAAAGGGGTTGTTGACCACACTAAGCACG